TGACGGAGGAGCACAAAATGGCACCGTTTGAGGGTGCTGGCGCGTGAAGTCGGCGGCGAGTGAAAGAGAAAGTGAGGGGAAAGTGCAAAATCAACTGCTAGAGTAACCAGTTCCATTTAGAGATGTTCGCAGACAATTTAAGCGGTTTTTTCTTCAAACCACTTATTAAATTAAAAATGATTTTTTTTGGACTGTTTGATATTTTTGACAAAAATTAAATCAAACCAAATTACTAATGAGTGGTTTGAGCGATTTAGTTTGAGCAATTTAGACTTAAACTTAAGATTTTTTAGGTTTCATTCGTTTCGTTCGTTCGAATTGAAAATTTAAGTTAAAAAGAGAAATTTATATGAGAGAAAAAAACTCAAATAGAAAAGGTTGAATTTGAATTTTTATTCGAGAAAACACTGTAACAAAAACTTAAATTGTGATTTAAACTAACGAAACGAGTAGATTCTTAATATTTTAAAGAAATTATAAAGTTGTTCATTTATTGAAAAAAATAACAGTTGCTTTTAATAAGCACAAAGCTAAAAGAGAGAATAGGATCATACTGGGGTTTTAACTACAATTTTCTAGTGAGAGAATTCCAGAGAGAGAGAGCGGGGAAGAAGAGAATAATCCAGCCGGCTATTGAAAGTGCGTCTCTGGTTAGCCGGCCTTCAAAATATACTCACGCGCTCTACGTCGGTCGATTTACATGATAATGAAGTCCGTGTTGGTGTTTTCTTCTCTTTTTTTAGTTGTTCGTGGAATAAAGGCAGTCATTCTGCCAGTGTTGGTGTTTGGTTTCCTCTACAAATTGCTAGATTTGTATGAGCTTTGGTTGTTTTTGTTGTTTTTAGTTGTATTCCCCCACCAAGCTATAACCTTGTGTGGGTTTTGTGTTGTTTTTAATCTTTTATATCTCTTTAACTAGATCTCCTGTTTCGGTGAGCTTGATCTAAAAGAATACTGACTTTCAGAGATCAGTTTTTACAAATAATTTGTTACAGCCCTTTCGAGAGAGTGTGGAGGGAGAATTAAACGAGCTAAAAAAAAGTTCTCCAAATTGTGTTCATTATCGGACCTTAGATCCCTGTACTAAGATGCCAACGTATCTATCGATTTTAGTTTGTTATATCAAGTTTTCTGTATTTGATTAATGAAATGGCTTTTGCATTAAGAAAAAAAAAAGAAGCACAAAGCTAACAATAACTTTTAAAACGAAAAACCAACGAAATAAACAATAGAATGAACACATTTTCCTAGGAATTTCATCAAACACCTGATAGGCAATACACAAATACTTTCCTAAGAATTCAAACAATCACCTGATAGCAAATACTTAGTGGTAATTAAAAAATTTGTCCTTCATGTCCATTAAGTTTTAAACGTTGTCAATGTCGCTTTCACTATTTGGTATATCATATTACTAGTATTATTAGTATTTAAGTCTATAACCGTTACAAAAAATGAGCTCAAGTTCCCCAAAATGAGAGAGAGAAGAAAGAAAGAAAGGAAGAAAGAAATAGAGAATGAGATTACCAGAGTCGGCGACTCGGCAGCGAATGGCGGGGTGGCAGCGGCGGCGAGGTGGCAGCGATGGCGACGTGGGAACGAACGGCGGCGAGGTGGGTCGACGGCTCGACGCTTCACTGAGCAGAGGGAAATGTTAGGGAACTTCCTTTTGCCTCGTTCGTGAGAAAAGACAATGTCGTTTGTCTAAAGAAAATGTTATGTCGTTTGAGAGATGTATTATCGTTTATGAGCTAATTCGGTTCCAAAACGATAAAACTGTCGGTGTCTCTCTCGCTCTGTCTGTCTGTCTCTCTCTCTCTCTGTCTCTCTCTCTCCTACACTTGCAGTTGCGAAGAGGCAAAGCCCCAATGGCGTCGATTGTTCCAGAAAACCTAACCAGAGAGCAGTACGTATACCTGGCGAAGCTCGCCGAGCAGGCGGAGCGCTACGAGGAGATGGTCCAGTTCATGCAGAAGCTGGTGGTGGGGTCCACCCCGGCTTCGGAGCTGACGGTGGAGGAGCGCAACCTCCTCTCCGTCGCCTACAAGAACGTCATCGGCTCCCTCCGTGCCGCCTGGCGGATCGTCTCCTCCATCGAGCAGAAGGAGGAGGGCCGGAAGAACGACGACCACGTCGTCCTTGTCCGCGACTACCGATCCAAGGTCGAGTCCGAGCTTTCCGACGTCTGCGCCAGCATCCTCAGCCTCCTCGACTCCCACCTCATCCCTTCCGCCTCCGCCGCCGAGTCCAAGGTCTTCTACCTCAAGATGAAGGGCGATTACCACCGGTACCTCGCCGAGTTCAAGGTCTCCGACGAGAGGAAATCCGCCGCCGAGGAGACCATGCTCTCTTACAAGGCTGCCCAGGTGCGCAATTTCTTAATTCGATTGATTTTCTTTCTCTGAATTTCTTGATTTCTAGGGTTTCGCAAAATCTCGATTTGATTAGAATCCGAATTTGATTTCATGTTTTTAGGGTTCTGAATCTGCGACTGTTGAAGATTTTAATTTGATTTGATTTGATTTTCCAGTAATAATTGATATCGATCAAAATCAGAAATTTTTCGATTTTAATTGTGTTTTTCTTCTCTCCAATCAAGGATTTGGCGCTTGCGGATCTTGCACCGACGCATCCCATAAGATTGGGGCTGGCGCTCAATTTCTCTGTGTTCTACTACGAGATTCTCAATCAGTCTGATAAAGCTTGCAGCTTGGCCAAACAGGTATTTTGCAGTCCACTATTACAACCCTTATTTTCTCTTGTTTATTATTATTATTATTATTATTATTTGTTTCCCCTTTAATAATTTCACGCGCACGCTTCATTGGGCCACTAAGTAAAGAGTTGGGCAGGAATGTTAACGCGGAATCTTATCTGATATTTTATTGCACCATTTTCGGAAATAGTAGGAAATAGGCCAATATAAAAATCTTAAGAAAGTATATAGGCTAATTTTTAGTTATAGAAATTAATAAGGCCATAACTTGTCAAGTTATGGTTAATAACTAGATAAATTATGGATAAACTTGTCAAGTTATGGTTCATAACTAGATAAGTTATGGATAATAACTTGTCAAGTTATGGTTCATAACCAGACAAGTTATGGACGAAAATAGTAATTTGGCCTATTTATTAACTTATGTAAACTATTGGCTTTTTAATTTTAATTCATCTCAAGTTTTGACCTATTTCTCTCTTTTTCCCTTTTAAATATCTGTCACAGGTCAATTTTGTTATTAAATGTGTATGACTCAGCTAAAGCGTGATTGAGCCTACCTTCTTTCTTCGTCAATGATGCTCTTTCATTGTGTTCCACTATTTGCTTGGTTTATTTTTTTGGATCAAATCGTCATATACAAGTTACACACCATATGTATTGGATTTCTTTTATTTTGACTATTTCTTGGTGCATACAAATAACGAGACATGAGATAGTCAAACTTTGCTAGTAATTAATTTTGTCACATATTTGTAGTTTTTATTTTGGTGGGTGCTTTAATCAAGTCAAATGAAATTTTGGGTTGCAATTGTTGGTCGTTTTAGGTGGTTGGACATCCCCCAGGTTGCCGTACTTCGATGCTTTGCTGTTTTGAAATTTATTGTATATCCTCCGGAGTCGTGAAAACATTTGAAATGTGGATTGTTAACTACCATAGATAAAGCTGATTGGTGAGATCCGTGAGGATTTTGGTCTTTTGACATTGTATTGCCGGATCAATTTTCTTTACTAAGCTTCTTATATTTTGCCAGTGAATAGCTTGTTCTCTTGATATCCTGTAAAATTTCAAGTCTTTGAATGAAATTTCTTTGTTAAGAAAGAATAAAAAAAGAAAAAAAAAATTAAAGTCTTTCGGTCGCAAAGAAATTTACCACGCAGATACTTTGTGGTCCATTGCTGTTCTTACAATGTGATTTTTCTTTTTGGTTACCATTTGCCTATATTTTCAAACTTGTTATAAACTCAAGAGATCGGAATGTTTCACAGAGATGTTAGAATCAGTTACTCTTTGAGCACATGCCATATATCAGGTGCCAATAAAAATCGCCTGCGCTCTTGTTCATACATTGCAAGGGACTGAATGGCACTCTCACAGAAGTTTTGGTATCAGCTATGCTAATCTTATTTTGTTGTAGGCTGTCAGTCTCACCTTGAGATATGTTGCTTTTGTTAGGTTTCGGCTATGCTCATCTTTCTTTGATGTCAGTCTGACCCTTGAGATGTGTGGCTTTAAATGCATGTTTTTTACCGTTCATTTCACCCGTTCAAGTTTAGAATTTGAGTTTTTTTACAGTAAAAAGCTCTCAGAAACAATCACATCTAATTTTTTTGTTACAGTAAAAAAGTTCTCACATAAAGTCATATCTTAATTCGAATTAAAAACTTGAATCAGCTAACTAAACATGTTAAATCTGTCCTTTTTGAATCACCGGATTGCTTTCTATGTATTTACTTGAGTGCCCACTTAAGTTGCTTTTATTATACTTTGATCAAGGCATTTGAGGAAGCAATTGCTGAGTTGGACACTCTGGGAGAAGAGTCGTACAAGGATAGCACTCTCATCATGCAGCTCTTACGGGACAACCTCACCCTTTGGACTTCAGATGTTCAGGTCAGTGGAGTATTAGTTTCTTTTAACCTTATGGTATGTAGATTTTGAATGACCAAGGTGTAGTAACTTCATATGTTGGTTTTCATGCAGGATCAGTTAGATGAGCCGTAGAAAGCAATATAAGTTGCCCAGGCCTATTCTTCTTCTGCGAGAAGAATGGCATTTATTTGTGCTGATTTTAAGAATGTGTGTTAGTCATGTAAATCAGGTGTCAAAGTGTCAACCTTCAACATAATGCCTCCATATTCAGACGAAACTAGTTCCTGAATCTGTTTAGTAGTTTGGAAAATATGGAATTTGATGGAACGCTAGCTATATATTTTTCTACATTTTATTTAGTTTTTGCATAAAGATGTCAGGTGGTTTAAAGATCACGTCAAAACAAAGCATATAAGACAGCTTTGCAGGTTGCATCGGTGGAAATTGTGAAAAAAAAAAAGCAAAAAGAAACTTTATACAAAGATTTCTAGTAACCTGTTAAGCGGTTAATAACAGTGTGTTCGATTTATGTTTCAAAATTACATGTGGCTTTACCATGTTTATTGTTTACGGTGGATTTCTGTCTCTTCGAGGTGGATTTCTGTCTCTTCGAGAACACTCACAGTAACCTATCACGGATTGATTAAGGATTAATGTTGTAGATTAATAGAGAAGATAAAAATTTATAGTGATTCGGCAAGATTGTTTTGGCCTAATTCACTTGTGATTACAATTTCTCTGGAGTAGTAGAGTAATGCGTAAAAAAAACTTAATGAATTCACATGGCTCTATTTATAGGTCTTGTACACATGAGAGACCATCTCTGCATTTCTCGAGGAGATCATCTTCTATCCCTTAATTTTGAGATTTGACAGTTATATTTTCATGATTTCTGCTTCCAGGTTAGGTTAACCACCCTTTCTGGCTACTTGATTTTCTAACTTCGACAGTAGTAGTTAGTACAGTGCATCTTCCCTTGAGTTGACATGACTATCTTTGGATTGGACCGGGCTGCTACCTTGACGTCGTGGCATTTACTACTTCAACGGGGCTCTCGACGCACGTTATCTCGCGTGAACTCTCGACGTATAAAGGGCACTTTAGGTATAGTTTATCCCTTGACGTGAGCAACCGATTCTCAACATGAAGGCCTCGGCGCTCGTCGTCCAAAGGAGTGGTCAATTCCTCGACCGTGATGTAACAATTACCCTCTAGACTGGGACATCACGTTGTGATGTTTCAGGCTATGCAGCGTCGAGAGTTCCACGTGACAGATTCGCTCCTGCAGACTATGGCGGCTGCTTGTAGGTACAGCGCCATCATTACAACGAGTTTTTCGGGCAGTGGAGCAGTCTCGTCGATTGTGTCAACGGTCATGTCCCACGTACCCTGGTGACACGTGGCAGTCGAGGGGGACATTGCAGTCGTCCGTTCAGATTTATTTCTCTAACTCTTATCCCAGCCGTTGGATCGCGTCTCTTCGGATTCACCATTGGATGAGGTCGGTTTGAATTTGACGATCGAGATCTGGCGTTGTTCAGACTTCTCTGAGGCTCCTGGGCTTCCCCATGGGGTATATATATACCCCCTGAGACAGCTCCACGGTCGTCCGTCTTTCAGAACGCCGTTACTATGCCGGATTTCTCCCAAAGGTTACCGTCTCCGACTTCAACTTTCTGTGTGTATTTCCGTCCGTGGTTCTCCCTCTCAATCTTAAGGTTTTCAGACCACTTTTCAAGAAATGGTAAGTCGTTTTGGCTCTCTTTTACTTGTCAGTGTGATTCTGACCTTGATTCTTGCAAAAACTAACATTTCGAAGAGAACAATATAACCATAAACTTACCCGGACAATGTTGTTGCTCATGAATCTGGGTTGAATCTTGTTGTGGTAGCACCTGCTTGGGTTTAGTTGTCCACGTCGGGGTTCTCAAACTCACTTCTGGGTTTTGGGGGACCCTTATGAGTTTTTCCTCATTAATGGGTTTGGAACCCATTTTTAGATTGTGTGAACCTGGTATTGAAGTCCTAGGCTCTTGGATCATCTTGATCCAAGCACACTTCTCTTTTCAGACTTTGTTTTTGACCTCTCGACTATTAGGCTCTAACTTGGCCATTTCTTGCTTATTTCCAAAACATGTCGCCCAAACAGGTTAGAGGTCGAGAGGTCTTCATCTCCAGGGTTAGGGATGACCCTGAAGATGCCGCATCGACAAGTACGTCTTCAGGCAATAGCGGGGACTCTCTGCTTCGCCAGGTGGATGAGTACGCTTAGGGGTCGGTCTCGACCTCTCAGCCGGACGAGCTAATTCTCCTCGATGATGAGGATGATGGCCTAAGAGTTAGCCTTACTGGGGGGCGTGGTTATGGGGTGGCGTCGACTAGTGGTGTCTCAGGGATGGTGACAGAGGTCAACCCGTCAAAAATCAAGTATCGGGTTGCCATGAGGGCGTTCAACGATGCGGGGATCGACGCCAACAATTTTTATCTAATTATCCCGACCCCCAACGATAGGGCTCACAACCCCCCTGCCAATCACATGACTGTATACACGCGCACCCTTTAGCTTTGGGCAGACTCGGCCTTTTCATCCTTTTGTGAAAGCCATTTGCGGCCTCCACAGGATTTCCCCTGCACAACTGTCACCCAATTGCTGGGTGACAATAAACTCCATGATCATTTTGTGGAGAAAATTCTTGAACCTCGACATAACCGTCGAGGAATTTTTGTACTGTTATGCCCTTAAGGGTTCCCCCGGTCAGAAGGCGGTTTTTCTACCTAGGCGCCCACTCCAAATCCAAACCTCCAGTCCCGCCTGTCGTGGTCTAGAAGACTTCTAGTTGCTTGTCACGCCCCCAAATAGGGGTTAGTGACGTGGATGCTTGTTTAGAAATTTAAACATGTTTAAGAAAGTGATTAGCAAATAATTGTGCTAAGATTTGACTTTTCAAATCTAAAATATTCAGGTATTTTCAAACAAGCCCTTGCATTTAAGAGAAATTTAATTTCAAGAAGGGTGGTGAAATTTCCAACCAAACTAGTTTAAACCCACGCCCCTGGTATCGTGTCAGGAACTCCCACAAGTTTAGCATACATGAATTTAAATAAAAGTAAATGCGACATCAACCACAGTCTAGCAATATTTAAGTTTACAATCCATAATTTTATACATGCCTTGAGATAAAGGAAAAGAGGAAATACAACTCTTCACTTTGCGGGGACGAGTTCACCTCACCGGTAGTAGCTACCTACTCCGCACTACTCCTCGCGTCGCCTGGAGGGGTTTAATACATTTGAAAACATAGAAAAGTGAACGGAAGGCCCAGTAGGACATAATCTTATAAAACATAATAAATAAGGTACTCACAGTCTGAAGACATACACCCGGAACCGATCATCATTTTTTTTTGAAAAGGAAATACTCACATAGTAGTAGAAAATATCCGTAATATGAAAGTGTGCAGATCATCATACCACTGAGCAAGAAGTGGTAAAATGTCTGTCTAGTGAAAAAGTGCAGAGCCATAATTCCACTGAGCAAGAAGTGGATCCGTACGGGTTTCAAGACCTGCCCCCAAGGATACGATTCCCATATCCCGATCTCTATGGCCACCAAGCGTTGTATCATTCTTAAGATATTTCATTTTAAGAAATGGTACTCTTTAAAATCTCATTTCCAAAATCATTGGAAAACTTAATAGCATTATTCATGCTATTTCATTTAAAATAATTTTCTCTGAGCAAGAAGTGGTAAAATGTCTGTCTAGTGAAAAAGTGCAGAGCCATAATTCCACTGAGCAAGAAGTGGATCCGTACGGGTTTCAAGACCTGCCCCCAAGGATACGATTCCCATATCCCGATCTCTATGGCCACCAAGCGTTGTATCATTTCTTAAGATATTTCATTTTAAGAAATGGTACTCTTTAAAATCTCATTTCCAAAATCATTGGAAAACTTAATAGCATTATTCATGCTATTTCATTTAAAATCATTTTCTTTCAACATGTTTTGTTCTAAAACATTTTCATTGGCCAAAATCATTCAAAGTGAGGCTAACAAGGATATGGACAGGAATATCCTACCTTTTTGGCTGTCAAACTTGTGGCTATCTTCACGTAACCCTAGCTCCGCTTACCTTAAAGCTTTAATACTCGATCTTCTCAACTAGCTTTATGACAAAAGCAGTGTCTTAGGATATATTTCTCATTCCTAAAATGAATTGAGCTCAATCATGTTTAATTGTTTCCTATTAGTGTGCCTTGACTCAAATCCAATCTATGGGTTAGGTTTCCTATTTAATTTCAGTTTAAAAATAAGTTTTTAAAGAAATTTTGGCAGCATGCTGGCATAAATAGGAAAAATGCCAAACCTGCAGTTCAAGTCCAGTATCAAAATAAATTATTCATAATCCATCAAAACCAGTTTCCAATCAATTAAACAAGTCCAATAATTGAAAACCCCCAAATTTCATTCAATTCTAAGAACAAGTTTTCAAATCCAAACCCTAACTCAAAATTATTCAAATCTAACCAAAATTAAACTTTCTCAAGCTTAAAATTTGAATCAAAGAGTGGGTTTCAAGGGGTTTTACCTCAAATTAGTTTATGGAGCTTTATTGCCCTCGGTTTCTCTCATTTACGTTTTTTTTTGTGTGTCTCTCGGCCAAACTGCCGAGAGAGAGAGAGAGAGAGAGAAACTCAGAAAGAGCAAGGGAGAGAGAGCGAGAGACCGGCGGGAGTGAGAGAGAGAGAGCCCGGAGGAGGTGGCCGGCGGTGGAAGAAAAGAGAGAGAGGGAGGTGGTTGGCAGTTAGTGTGGGAAAACCAGAGGAAAAAAGAAAAAGAAAAAGAGAGAGAGAGGGGGCAGTCCCGAGGGGGGGCTGCATGGGAGGGAAAAGGAGGGAAAAAGAAAGGAAGAAAAAAGAAAAAGGAAAAAGAAAATAATAGGAAAAGAAAAAGAAAAATGGAAATAAAAAGGAAAATGTATTAAAATTTAAGTGTATTTTCAAAAACTTTTGGGGTGAATTCATAAATATTGAAAATAATTTAAGGTTCCTTAATTAAACATGTTTAATTCTAGAAGGCGTTACAGCTTTGCCCCCCCTTAAGAAATTTCATCCTCGAAATTGAAACTTACCTCAGGATATGAATAGATGTGGATATCATTCCTACACCGTCGTTTCTAATTCCCACGTTGCTTCCTCAATGCAATGGTGTTGCCACAACACCTTCACTAATGGTATCTCACGTTGACGTAGACTTTTCATTTTTCGATCAAGAATCTGTATTAGTGCTTCCTCGTAAGTTGTGTCATATTGGATCGGCACGTCATACCATTGTATAATGGCTTCTAGATCAGGTTGACACTTTCGAA